CGGGAGCCGAAACTGGGCCACGTGCTTGCCACTGGAGCCGCCATGCGACGGCATGCGCACCTGAAACTCTACAGCCGAAGGTCCCCAAAACCCTGAACCCAAAGCCCTGAACCCTAAACCCCAAAGCCTCAACCCCAAACCCTCTAAAGCCTAAACCCTCTAAAGCCTAAACCCTAAATCCTAAACCCCAAACCCGAACCCCTAAACCCCTGAACCCCTACACCCTAAACCCTATAAACCCTGGCCCTAAACCCCTAAACCCTGAACCCAAAAAAAACCCTAAACCCCTAAACCCTGAACCCCTATAACCCCTAAACCCCTAAACCCTGAACCCCTATAACCCCTAAACCCCTACACCCTAAACCCTATAAACCCTAAACCCCTAAACCCTGAACCCCCATAACCCCTAAACCCCTGAACCCAAGCCTGAGAAGCCCCCTGCTCGTCGTCGACGCCCCCGCTGTACTGCTCCCGAATGGAGGCGAAGAGCTCCCCGGGAGGAGCGTCGATGGTGCAGAGCAGCCGCTTCTGCCGATCATACCTCGGTTTAGGGTTTAGGGTTTAGGGTTTATGGTTTAGGGTTTAAGCCGAGAGATGCTCCGAACAGGGATGCCTCTGGTATAACATGAGATGACGTTAGAACACATTCTAGTGCGTTATAGTATATTGGAGTATGTTATGGGTACATTGCGATTATCGCACACAAAATTAGAATATGCTAAACGTTGACAGGTCTTGACAGGATCATAAAGGCCAAACTAGAGCTCATTGCGGGCCCAGACGCATGACGTCGACCAAAGATGCAAAACGTCGAGCAGCATTTTCGTCCGAGGACGCGAAGCGCGGCACCCGTCGGACCACGATGACATCAAAAGCTTCGCACAAAGCCTCAAAGTAGGATCCGTGGCGCCGAGAGGCTTAGGTTTTTGGGGTTTAAGGTATACCTGGGGATCCAAAAACCCTACCGTTTTAAGGGTTCTACCCTCTAGTTAAGGGGTCATAACCTACTATTTTGTAGGGTTTGGGGTCACAGGTAGGGTTTAGGGTTTAGGGTTTAGCTTGAGAGGCCTCGGAGACTGCTTCCTAGGCTTCGTGCTGTCTGTTACTTTCAAGCAGCTATGTAATCATGAGTCCCCACAGCTGCCACACAGAGCTCCTCGAAGGAGAAATCTGCGGCGGCCACACCATTCCCTCTCCAAACTCCTCGGCTACGTGCCGGCCAGCACCCGAACCCTAAATCGTGAAACCTGAAACATGCCAAAGCCGTTGAGCATCAACCCCCTAAACCTGATACACCCCAGCGCTATCTCACGAAATGCTTGAACCCTAAAACCATGAGCCAGCGGAGAAGTTGATTAAACCAACCCAAGCCCCCGGAAACCCCGTAGAACCCTAGACCCTAAACCCTAAACCCTCAAAACCCAAACGCCCTAAAGCACTAAACCCTGAGCAATGAAACCCCATCTTGTAGCCCTTCCGACTCCTAACGAAGGGGCCTTAATACTAGACTAGGGTTTTGGGGGGGCTCTATACTATATTTCTAGTATGATATACCCCCAAGCCCTATTCTAAGTATTAAGGCCCCTACATTATTAGAAGTTTGACCTTGAAGAAAAAAACAAAACTTTCGCCCGATCTCGGCTGCACGGCAACTCTCGGCCCATGGGCACCTCGGTCGCAGTTTTGGGACCCTTCAAAAAGTCATTATGAATAGGTACCTCTGTAAGAACCAAAGGGGAGTTGTTGTTAAGGTTTCCGTTTATGAGTAGGTACCTCTAACCCTGACCCCTAAACCCTAAACATTAAAGCTTCCCAAAGTACCTCTAACCCCCTAAATCCAAAAACCCGAAACCCGAAACCCAAAAGCACTAAACCCTAAACCCTAAACCCCAAAACCCTAAACCCAATAACCCTAAACCCAAGAAACCCTAAACCCTAAACCCAAAAACCCAAAAACCCAAAAACCCAAAAACCGTAAACCCTAAACCCAAAACCCGAACATTCCCACACCGCCATCTAGGCACCGCAATCCTCTCGAACTGCGGCCCGGAGGAGCCCCCTAGGATGCTTTCCAACCTGCGCAGGGCTTTGGGTTCAGGGTTTTTGGGGTTCAGGGTTGAGGGTTTTTGGGTTTTTGGGGTTCAGGGTTGAGGGTTTAGGGTTTCTTGGGTTTTTTGGCTTGTAGGGGTTTTAGGGGGTTTCGGGGTTTAAGGGTTTAGGGCTTTAGGGTGTAAAAGTTTAGGTTGTGGCTTTTGGGTTTTGGGGCTTAGGATTTTGCTGAACCAGCTTCGCACGGGCATTCTTGTGATATGGCGGGACGTCGTTGTTTTTGGTTGCGGGTTTAGGGTTTAGGGTTTAGGGTTTAAGGTTTAAGGTTTCTGTTGTCTTTTGGGTGTGCCCGTTTCAGGATATAGTCGAGGCCCTTCTGCAGACCATGTTGGCAGGAAGGGTTTTTGGGGTTAAGATGAAAATGCCTCCCAATCTGGGGTGCGTCTTCAGATGTTGGAAGTTCTTCCACGTTTCTAAACCCTAAACCCTAAACCCTAAACCCAAACCCTGAAACTGCGGCCTTCCTGAGGCAGGGTTCTGAGTTCTGAATAAAGGAACGCTCCAAGTTGCAGTTGCGGAGACTTGGGGGGGGAGTTCTGGGTCTTGGTTGTGACAAGCACCCCTGAACACTGCACCCGAAACCCAGGCTGCTACACGACAGTTGAAATACATAAAGCGGTCCGGGCTAAGCGCTACACACTAAACATGAATCACTAAACCTTGCAGCTCTAAGAGAGGGCCTGTCGCTTTGGGATTTGGGGCTTGAACGTAGGGCATCAGGCTTGCAGCACAGGTGGGTTTAGTGCTCAAGTGGTAAAATCCGGACACTATCCCTCTGTTTCATGGAAGGAAAGTGAAGGAAAACCCAATCGAACCTGCCGACACACCCTCGACCTAATCCCAATTTTTTGAAGATCCTCCCGAACCCAGCGACTCCAACCTCCTTCAACAAAGGGTCCTGCATTCTGGACTTCTTGCAGAAAATGAAAAAGCGTTCCACTACTCGACTACTGGAGCCCATAAACAACCTGTGAAACATTCAACAACCCGTCAGACCCTATGGAACACCACAGTTGGGGGACCAGTGCCCATGAGTCTAAGCCCCCTGTCTTTGAGGGTCCTCTCCCCAAGATCTCTAACCCCCTAAACCCTAAACCCTAAACCCTAAACCCTCTCTAACCCCCGTTCAAGGCCGCTCCAAGGGCTTATGAACCAGGGGTCTGCTCTGCATCCTTTCTCGTTTTAGGGTTTAGGGTTTAGGGTTTAGGGTTTAGGGCTTATAGGGTGTAGGGTGTAGGGTGTAGGGGTTTAGGGTTTAGGGTTTAGGGTTTAGGGTTAGGGTTTACTATCCCTATACCAACCCTCAACCCGTTTGCTCAATTCTGCGCCTAACTAAAAAAAAACCTAAACCCGTAAGCCCTATATAAACCCTACAGACGCTACACCTATGGATCCTCTGATCGAAAAACCCTAAACCCTAAACCCTAAACCCTGAACCCTAAACCCTAAACCCCCAAAACCCCTAAACCCCTAAACCCTAAACCTAAACCCTAAACCCCCAATACCCCTAAACCCCTAAACCCTACAGATCCCACCAAACCCCCACCTCTCCATTAGCCGCAGGTCCGTCTCGGGTCCCAGCGGCCAGAAGAAGGCGCGATCTCCGCCTTCCAGGGTGTAGGGGTTTAGGGTTTATAGGGGTTTAGGGCTTATAGGGTTTAGGGTTTAATGGGGGTTTAGGGTTTAGGGGTTGAGGGTTTTGGGGGTTTAGGGTTCAGGGTTTTGAGGGGTTTGGGGTTTAGGGGTTTCGGGTTTAGGGTTCAGGGTTTGGGGGTTGAAGGGGTTCAGAGGCACAGGGGTTTAGGGTTTTAGGCTTTAAGAGGCAATCCCCCTCAGATTCTCTAGCTGATGCTTGCCAGGACATATTACCGACATCAGCGATGTTTCTGGTGAAAGCCTGGCAACTGTGCTACCTGCACGCCTGGAAAGCATGTTCTTGTCTCTCGCTGGATGCAGAAAGAACCTTAGCCTGTTAGGCGGGCAGGTGCAAAGTCGACCCCAGTGAGGTCCGTGTCATGTCTGCGGCTGCCCGGTGAGAGGCAGAAAGCGTAGAAGCACCACGGTGGTGTTGACCCCAAGCCCCATCTCAGATGCATTTCACGGTACCTTCGTCGAGCAACCAAGGATCACTGGCAAGCTCCTCGGCGTGAATGTCACTCCCACTTCTTCGGAAATTGTATACGTCAGAACCTTGTAAACCTAGCTTTTGTTTCAAGATGCTCTTATGTCTTTCATCTCTGCCCTGCTGGCTTGAAGGACGCTGGAAAGTCTGGGCAGGTCCTTTCCTCTGAAATTGTCGCATCTTGAGCTCATGTTCGGTAGCTGCCACCTGCTGGACAATGCTGCGGTACAAGCGCTGCTGTCTCAACTGCCCGAGGCCACCTCCTGTAGGACCAAGCCTAAACCTTGAAGCCTAAGCCCGAAACCTTAAACCCTATATTCTGAAACCCTTTCCTATGTGGCTCTGCACCTAGATCCTACCTAAACCCTGAAACCCTCTGAAGAAGTCGCCTCACCAGTGCGTTTATCACGAAGAGCCCTAAACCATAGCCTCGATGAATCCTCATAGATCCCTTCTCATAGATCTCTGTTCGAAACCTTAAACAGCCCTTGGCACTCTTAATTGTGACCCCTCAACGATGAGCAATCCTAAACCTAAACCCTAAACCCTAAACCCTAAACCCTAAACCCTAAACCCTAAACCCTAAACCCTAAACCCTAAACCCTAAACCCTAAACCCTAAACCAGCAGGGCTTGCTTGATCTGCGGCTGGACTTCTGGGGATGCTCGCAGCTCACGGAGGTGGGGTTCGGGGATCGCAGGGCTTGGGTTTAGGGTTTAGGGTTTAGGGTTTAGGGTTTAGGGTTTAGGGTTTAGGGTTTAGGGTTTAGGGTTTAGGGTTTAGAGAATGTCAGATGACGTCAAACGCATTCTACTACCACATCCTTCCATACCCTACCTTGCCATTCCAGACTAAATTGTAAAACACTATACTCTCATGTGCTCGAGTATGCACAACTGGATACCTAATGTACTATGATGCAATAGCATACTTCAGTGACATGTATATATATATATATGTATCATGTACGTATTGATATTTGTATTTACATGTATATACAGATATTTTATTTGTATTTATATTTGTTTACATGTTAAATTTTTTATGTGTCTAGATGTACATATAGCTATACAGATAAATACAGATGGATAGATAGACAGATAGATAGACAGGTAGATAGGTTTACAGATAAACATATAGATAGATAGATAGACAGATAGATAGATAGATAGATAGATAGATAGATGGAGAGATGGATAGACCGATAGATGGATAGATAGACAGATGGATAGACAGACAGATAGATAGATAGATCAATGATCA